CATTCAAAGGGATGATTGCGAAGTATGTGAACTTTCAACATTCGGATTGGGATGGTTATTTGCCGTCTCTTCGGTATGCTTATGTTACAGGGGTGCAGAGTTCTGTTGGTGCTTCACCATATAAACTTCTATATGGTCATGATCCAATATTACCAACAGAGCTAGGTTTACCTTAAAAAAAAAAAAAAAAAAAAAAAAAAAAAAAAAAAAAGCTAGATCTAGACAATGCAAAAGCTAGATCTAAACCGAAATCCCAAATCCAAGCACTCCCCAGGGACAATCAAAGGTGCCCCTCACCTCCACCAATGTGAGTGCATGGAATATGGAAAGGGAATACAGAAATGTGCATGCACAAGTCCGACAAGATCTTGACGAAGTGCTGGCCACAGCATTCCTAGCTTGATCCGCTCCGACATATTTGGTTCCGCACGAAGCAAAAGACTTCGGAAACGAACGCCAAATTGCATCACCGACTCAGATGGCCCTTGGCGAAGACGATGCAATTGTTGGAAGGCATCATCACAATCGTCGGCGTGTCCGAAGGCGCGTTTGAAGACGTCCGGAAGAACACTCCAATCGCCACGAGTAGCTGCGCTCAATCCATTGTACCACTGCAATGCCGTCCCTTGAAGACATGTGGGGAACTCACGCAAACGCCGAGCATCATCCCAAGAATGATATGTGGCAATCACCGTGAAGTGATCGAACCAATGGTACACATCATCCCCAGGATTCCCACGAAAGAACTCCGGCCAAACGCGAGGATTGGCACCAAAAGCAGGAGGAGTTGTACCATGTGCCGTGAATGCCGCCATCAACTGAGTTTGGTTGTTCAATTGCAGGCGCATAGCATCAAGCAATTGAACCAACTGCTGCTCTAGAGTCAAAGGAGGAGATTGCGGATCGGCCATGAAAATGAATGAGAAAGAAAGAGCAAAAGAAGAGAAATGACAAAAAGCTAGAAAGAAATGGTAGATCTAGACAATGCAAAAAGCTAGATCTAAACCAAAATCCTGAAAGGAAAGAACAAAAGAAAGGAAATGGAAAAAGCTAGATCTAGACAATGCAAAAGCTAGATCTAAACCGAAATCCCAAATCCAAGCACTCCCCAGGGACAATCAAAGGTGCCCCTCATCTCCACCAATGTGAGTGCATGGAATATGGAAAGGGAATACAGAAATGTGCATATCAATTAACCCAAAAACCCTAGCTTATATACAGGAGTGAGTGGTCCGGATTGAAACCAATCCGACGGCTACCAAAATCCACTATGCTAATATTAGTATACGGCATCGTAGCCGTACACTTGGCCCTCACAACCTGTATATAAATTAGGGTTTCTGTATTCTATTTCTATATTCCATCTCAACTCACAACTTGAAATTTGTTGTTTACACTTAAATTGCAGACTGCAAATACTTTATATATCTAAGCAACAAAATGGGAAGTATGAGCCTGCCACTTGCAAGGAGGTACAGATTCATGTACTCAACAGCGCTTCAAGTGCATCAAAGAGAAGCGGTGCCATCTCTGGAGATACCGTCTTGACAGCGCACTTCACACCTGCCGTCCCAACCACAGTTGCCAGCTCCACAAGGAAAACAATGTTGGGGGGAACCTTGGCAGACAGGTAAAGCAGCTCTTGCCTCGATTCTTTCTGGGACCTGCGTGCAATGAAAAACAGGTTGGTGGCTTGCAGCTTCTGGATAGCCGACTCCACGCTGTTGACACAAACACTGGGTAACTCCTTGATAAACTCGTGTGAGTCGGGAATAGTCTTCCAAGTCTGGGCAAGGTTGAAAGGAATTATTAGTCAGAGCACGCAAGCGCTAAGAAAAAAAACTTGTACCTCCAGAAAGTGCTGTCGTTCCATTTTCCCATCTTCGCCAAACAAAGCTTCGATAGAGATCTTGTCGTTGAAATACCAGACTGGCTGCTGGTTATTCTTAACAGCAACTTGGAGAAGGGAGTTTGGAGGGCCAGGAGCAACGTTCTGATACATCACCATCGGCAGCACCACACTTTCGGATCGTCCAGGTACCAAAGGTGGCACTTGAAGCGGAGCCGCAGCTGCCAAACCGAATGTGTTCTTGTTGAACTGGATCATGAAGCCGTCCAGTGGTATCTGTGAGCTGTTCTCGAACATCAGGCTGTAAACCACTTGACCATTCCTGCGAACCAGCTTGCCACTAATTTGCAAGCCCTGGCCCGCGGACGCACTAAGCAGAACTGGCAGTGATCTGTAAGCAACAGAGTATGAAGACTTCTCTTAGCACATCAGTTCACACACTCTCACCTGGTCATTGGTTGTTGATCAGCTGATCCATCCAAACCCATCAAGTCTCCTAGAATATCAGGAACAGCAGCAGGCTGCCCTGGGACACCTCCTGGCGCAGCCACGGAGGTGGTAATCTCCGAGACTGGTGCAGAAGACGACTCTGGATCAAGACTCTCTGCTGCATATTCTTCGTCATCGTCGCGTTGGACTGTTGCACGGACGCGGCTCACAAAAGAATCCGGAGGCTTGTGATAAACTGAAGCCAACGTAGCAATGTTTGAAAGTAGTTCATCCAAGAGCGACGGCTCCAACATGTTCGAGTCATCATTAATGGTCGGCTTCTCCGCGAGCACGACATCCTTGGCTGCCTGCAAGCACAGAAGAAACATACAAGCTACCAACTGATAATAAACTATAAGCAAAGTAAACACGGACCTCCGGATCCGTGGAAAGCAATCGCCAGTAAATGTATGCACGATCGCGAAGGTCTGGATTATCCGTCTCTTGTGTTGCATTGTTAAGCACAACCTGCGGGAGAAGGAGAGCGAGTGTAAATATAAACTAAAGGCACGGACATCAACCTGAATCATTTGCTGTGGCCCCTCCGTTGGTTTCTTCAGGAAAAGCTTCACAGTCGCCGTCAGCAATTGCAACTGGACTTGGGCAGTCTCCTCGGGGAACGTCTCGAGGAAACCTTCGAGTAACTCATCCGCATTGTCAATGCGCTCCGCGTATTCACCAATGATCCAGATCATGGACGCCTGCAGTGCACAATCATGAGCTCCACATATGTGAAACGCGAAGGTAAACCTTGGCTTCCGGTTCATCCAAGTTATCCAGGTTCTCACAAAGCGTTGCGATTATGGACTCGTACCTGCAAACACGAAATTGTATTTTTTCAAAACCGTGAGAAACGACTTTCTTACGTGTTTGGATAGCGGCGGAAGATGTCTTTGATCACTACTATCGCTTCCTGCACGACATAGTTAACTTTGAGCTTTATCAGCTCGAGGAGGACGCTAATGCAGCGCTCTGCTGCCCGCTCAAGCTTGATAGCGCATCGACCTATGGCTCGAACGGCTTTTCGAACAAAATCAACGTCAACTTCCGTGGCGTATTCTTTAAATTCCAGCAGCACCTGCGGCACATCGAAAATTCCTAGCGTCAGAAACTCTAGCCGATAATGGGACGAACCTGGTCAATATTTCGATCAGAAGCAAGCTTGATCATAATTTCTAGCTTTTCCATTTTCACATAGATGGGATCGTTGTACTTGCAGAAAAAAACCTGAAGGTAAAAGAGGAGAACACGATTCAGTAGCGCGAGGTGGTCCAGCTTGCCTTGATTTCATGAGCAAGAATAGTCGGCCTGCGCTGCACGATGAGGTTGATGTTCCGCAGGGCCACGTATTGAATCTCTGGTTCAGCGGAGATAAGCGTGACAAGGGGTGGTGCCATTTTCTTGCACAGATTCCGGACAACATCAGTGCTCGTAATAAGCTCCATTTGTTGCAGAATAACCTGTGGACGTGAAGTCAGAGATGTTATCTAGCCACGGAAACGCTGGTTTTACCTTGACAGCGGAGAGAACCACCGCACAGTTAGCGTGCTGGAGGCGCGGTGTGACTCTCTCCACAATGTTCTCTGCATCGCGGACGTCCTTGGCTTTGTATCTTGAGAGAGCGTCTAGGATAAAGACCTGACCCCACCTGGAACGAAAGAAAAAAGAAAAAAGAAACCAATGCTTAGCAGTGAGAAGCCATAGAGATGGAGAGCAACTGTACCATTGAACTCACTCTGTGCATTCGTTGAGGGCAGCCAGGAGCTTGAAGAGAGTGTGGTTTGTGATCTCGAAGATGATTTTGGTGGTGCCCTCCTGGATCTCGGCAAGGGCAGCGACAGCATTGGCAACCACCATCGGATTGCTGTCGGAGATGAGATCCTTGAGGATTTCCAGAAAGCCTCGGTCCTCAACCAGCTCGGCATTGATATCGTGCAGCTTGGCAACACAGATAGCGGCTGTCTTTCGGACGTAGGGGTCGTCGTCCTGGGAGTGGAAAAGATGGAAGAGCTTAGACGAAACATGGAAGCAAGGCAAGGAAAGTGGTACCTTGAGACATCTCTGCAGTGGATCACAGAGGTACTCGGTGATCTTGTCAACTCTAATGCAGCCCATGGTCCGGACAGCCAGGGCTCGGATCAAGGGGTTGGGATCTTGGGAATCCTGCGAGGAGCTAGCGTGTGAGCGAGCAGCAAATCCGGGGGGCTCACCTTGACAAATGTGTTGACTGCGAGAATGGCGAGATCCGGCTGGCTCTTGGCGTAATTGATGAGGTAGAGGTAGACGAGCTTCTTGAGCTCCAGGTTCTCGGTTTGCATGCAGTTGACGACATCGGTGAAGAGCATGCTCACGTCCTTGCCCACCGTCATTGCCGCAATCACCTTCTTCACCGCATCCTTCTTCTTGTCCTGGAAGGCAATGCGGGCGGGGCGAGAGAGTGATGTAAGAAGAGGGTTTTTGAAGCGCGCGTCAAAGCGCCGCCGCGCATACCTTGTACTGCGAGTTGAGCTCCTCCTTGAGCTCGTGGATCTCTCCCTTTTTGGTGGTGGTGAAGTACTTGGAGTCATGGCCGCTCATGATCTCTCCTCCTCCCTCCAAACAATGTGCCCTTGCCCTAAAACTAGGCTCTATTCTGTCTCTCTCCTCTCGCTTAAGCGCTACCTAGCGCGGACAATGCCAATTCGTTTCACAAGGGAACGATAGAACCATAGAACCATAGATGTAATACGAGGATCTAGAGGTTGAACATGACCTTGATGGCGCTGCCACCTTTGGCACTCGTCTCAAACGCCTCCACAACCTCCTGCTGCGAGAATCCAAAGCGGTGCGTGATGAGCGGCTTGACATCGATGCGCTTCGACTCGAGCAGCTGGATGCACAGCGGGTACGTGTTGCGGTAACGAAAAACGCCCACCACGTCCACCTCTCGCGCCGCCGCCGCGCCCGTGAGCGGCAGCGTCATCTCGGTGTGCCCCATGCCGATGAGGCACACCTTGCCCCCCGCCTTGCTCGCTCGCAGCGCCGTCAGCATCGTCTTGCCCACCCCCACGCAGTCCATGGCCACGTCCACCTCTCCCCCGGCCACGCCCTGGATCTCGCGCACCTCCGCCTCCACGTCCTCGGTCTTGGTCGACACCAGCACCGTGATCACGTCCGGCGCTCCCAGCTGCGCAGCCACCGCCAGGCGAGACGCGTCCACGTCCGTGACCACGATCCGTGTGGCGCCGAAGGCTCTGGCCGCCAGCATTGTCACCAGGCCGATGGGTCCGGCACCCAGCACGAGGAGCCGGACGCCTGGGACGATGCCCGCCCTCCGGCACCCGTGGACACCCACGCTCAGCGGCTCACACATAGCGCCCTCCTCCACGGACACGCCATCCGGCAGCTTGAAGCACAGCTCCGCCGGATGGACCACCTGTGAGTTCCATCACAAAGTGAGTTCCATAGTTCCATAGACACGATTACTTACGTAGTTTGCGAGCGATCCATGGATGGGGGGCGTGGCGAAGAACTTCATCTCGGGGCAGAGGTTGTAGGAGCCGGTCTTGCAGTGTGTGCAGTGGCTACACGAGACGCCGGGCTCCAGCGCCACGCGGTCCCCAACCTTGAGATGCTTCACATTGCTGCCCACCTCCACAACCAGCCCCGCGCACTCGTGCCCGATCACCATCGGCTCTGTCACCACGAAATCCGCGCAACGGAGGTGCTACATCAAGCAAAGATGAGGAATCCACGGGATCAAGTTCACAATCAAGCTTACCCGGTAGTAGTGGACATCGCTGCCACAGATACCGACCGCCTTCATCTGGACCTTAACTTCATCGCTGCCAGTCGGGGGCAGCTTAAACGGCTCCACGCGAATTGTGTTGGCCGCCACCAGCCAGGCGCCCAGGTTCTCCTGCTCTTGGACATCGCCCATAATCACCGCCCTCTTCTCGCTCTACGTGGAAACACTTGGAAACACTTGAAAATAGGGTTTGGTCTATTATATATTTATCTATATGTCATCTTTATCGTAAAAGGATAACGTGATACGATACAGCAATAATTAGACCTTGGAGGTGGCTGCTGCCGCCCCAACGGGGGAGCCTTGCTTGGAGGTGATGCGCTCAAACACATCTCTGATCTTGAGGCCCACAATGGTCTGGAACAAGCCCGTGCCGTTGTTGCTGCCCGGGAAGTCGGCGTGCTTGAGCATTTGCTGCGTGATCTCCCCGTAGAAGCGGGTCGAGATGTTGCTCAGGTGGCTTTCCACGTAGATGAGCTCGTCCAGTTTGTCAAACTGTCCATCCATCTCCAGCACTGACACCTGCATTGCACAGTAATGGTTCGCCACTGTTCAAAGCTCAGTGAGCAATCAAACTCACCTCGTTGTCATAGTAAGTGTCTGGGCCGTAGAAGAACTTAATCCCCGGGTAAGAACACGTGAGCTTCCTCCCGCAAGGTATCCACGAGATTGTGGAGCCTTCGTCAAACAGGTAGACGGGCTCAAAGTTGTCAACGCCCTCTTTCATGATCATCCGAACGCGAAGTACTTTGCCTTCGTTGTCGTCTGGAATGAGCTGCGTGGGAAGCACTTGAATCACCACGTCTGCGTACTGCTTCTGTGTGTCTGTTTCAACACCGCAGCTTGATATACATATCTTGAAAGCAAATCAAATGGTCACCTATGTAAGCATCAAAGTCGGGCTTGCGGGCAGCAATGCTGGCCTTGATGCTCTCCAGGCTGTGTCCCCTCTCGGCCATATCTCGCTGCCAAAGAGTTTCAATACAAAAGACTTATGTTTGCACCCACTCACCTGGATCTTCCAAGCAAACTTGACAGCATCGCTGATATCAAGGTATATACTGAAGTCGAGGAGCTCTCTCACTCTAGAATCGAACCTTGGAAACACAACAAGACCGTCATGTTGGCGCGTCAACTTAGTCTTTCAAGTTAAAGCTTACTTACATGGGGTGGAGACCTTCAATGACAAGGATCTTAGGTGGCTGGATGAGTTCCGGAGGGTCAAGCAACCCTGATACGTGGTTGTAGATGGGCTTCTGGACAGCTTTGCCTTCCTTGAGTGCCTTGACCTGCTCGTACATAAGATCGAAATTGTTGGCCTTCGGATCCAGGGCCGTCACCCCTTTCTCCTTCCTGCCCGTCCTGTCCAGCGAGTGGTAGTCGTCCAGGCAGATGACCGTGGTGGTGTCGCTGATGAGCGTGTTGGAGTCGGGATTCCCACCTTTAGGAGGCGACGCTGCTCCCCCAAACACGCTCGTCAGCCGCCTCATGAATGTGCTCTTGCCGCACCCAGAGTCCGCTGCCAGACCAATCACAATCGTCTTGCCATCGCCACCAGCCGCACAACAAACCAGGACTCTCACCCTGTTGCTGCTGCTGGTGCCGCTGCTGCCACTGCCGCCGCTGCTGCTGCCAATCCGGGCTCCGAGCTTGGGGAAGGAAAACAATGAAGAGGCATGCGATCCTCTCCACGGGTGGTGCTGCAGTATGCCGATGTTGCTGCTACTGGAGCTAGCCTGGAACCACCCAATTCGGCTGCTGCTGCCGCTGCTGCTGCAAGCCGCTGCCATGGTCGATCAATCAAACAAAACACTCCAATGCGGAGTGTAAGCGAGTAATCAAGCCACAGTGCGTCGAGCGCAGAGGGCAGCGATGGCCCCTGGTGGTGAAGCTAGGCCCGAGCAAGCGTGCACTAAGCCAAGCCCCTCCTCTCTCAGCAGTGGAGGGAAGATTGTGTGGTGCTCAGGAGATGGCCTGCCACGTCCTCATGCCCACGAATGAATGATTGGATTATCACGTAACTATAGTTCCATAGTTCCATGGCGGCCATGGCTTTAGAAAACCACCATTTTGAGCAATCATGGTGTCAACTTAAAGCCAGAAACACAAACACAAACACAACAAGCTCTAGGACTTCCACACCCGGAGGAATGCATCTTGCCCGCCACTAACAAGCTCGCTAGCGTCTGCGAAGGCCAGGCCGCTCACACCGCCCGGATGAGCTCCTCTGATAGATATCCGCGCTGAAGCAGGCCGGTCCACGTAGTAAACATAGATGCAACCGTCTACACCCCCAGTCGCAACCTTGGAGCTGTCCACAGCCCACGCAATGCACTGGATGCTCGTGGTGTGATAGAGCATGTTTTTCAGCTTCACCTGCAGTGGAACATCAACCGCAGACTTGCGAGTAAAGTAGAGAAAGCAAAATGCAAAGGGACCTGTACCTCTCTCTTGACTGCGTCCCACACAAAAGCTTCCCGGTTTTGATCGCCCGAAGCGAACATCGTGCCATCCGGGGAGAACTCGAGTGCCGTGACAGATGCACGATGGCGTTCGAGCAAGGCTTCCTGGTGCAGCCCGTCCTCACCGAGCGAGAACAGGTGCAGCTTGCCATCTTTGTCCCCAACTATGGCAGCTTTCGCGTCTGGGGAGACTGCAACAGCAGTAGCTGTAAAAGGAAGTGATAGCCGGGAGACGACAGCAAAGTCTCTGAGCAGGATCAGCTCTTGCTCTGTGCAGGCCAGCACCACCTCACCATCTCTGCAGGGAGCAATCGAGAACCCGACGCAAGCTGCTCCCAGATCAATCGTGCTCTCGGTTCCTCCCACAATTCTTGAGAGCTGTGAGATCCAAAAGCTCGGTTAGAGTACCGAGTAAAGGTGGCATACCATACCTTGGTTTGCCCGCATGCCACAAATGTATCCTCACTCCCAGCAACAGCTCCCAAGCCGGAGACACTGGAGGAGAAGCCATTGCCGTCGAGGCGAGCTACAAAGCCCTCTCCACGTCTCCACTTGACAATGACCCCGTCGTAGCTGCTCGAGTAAATGTCCGTGCCCGATGCGGAAACAGCCGTGATGCTCTTGGAGTGTCCGGAGAGCACCTTGTCTGGTGCCGTCAGGTCTCCGGTTGCTGACAAAACGTTCATCCTGCCATCCAGGGAGAAGGTGACGATGGAATCGTTGAGCCAAAGACAGCCGAGTTGCACGTCCGACGAGCAGAAAGTTGCCTCCAGACTCCCGCCGGATCCATCTCCCGCTATGCTCCACAGCTTAGCGGTTTTGTCTGCGGATACTGTCACCACCTGGGCAAAAGACTTAGAGATGTAACACGGCACCGAGGTGGTCTTACTTGGCTGCTGCTTGCGTTCCAGCTCACAGCGTAAATGCTACCTGTGTGCCCATCGGACGAGGACGAGACGAGGCCAGTTCTGCAACCCGTCTTCCCGTCGAACACGATGAGCTTCCTGTCGGATCCAGCCGTGACGAACTTGGTGCCGTCGGGAGCAAAGCGCACACAGTTGACGAAGTTGGTATGATCTCTTGGTTGGCAAAGCTCGTATCAACGTGTCGCAAACGAAAAGCAGAGAAACGAAACCATACCTGTGAGAGGCAGTGAACTTGAAAGGCGGACCCTCGTAGAAGTTGACAACGAAGTCTTCCCCGCCGGTGGCGACCCGGAACGGCCGCGTGGGCTTGAATGCGCAGCTCAAGACGCGCTTGGAGCTGCCCTCGAAGTCTCCAATGCTGGTGCCCGTGTCCCAGCTATAGAGACATCATGGTTGTAGGAACCAATCCATCCAGAAACAAAGCCCAGCCAGCCACGGCACTCACCTGAACGCTCGGACGAATGACTTCCCTTTGCCGTCGCCGCACACAACAATGCGCTGGCCATCGTGTGACCATTGCAAGTCATCGATGCGTCCCGAGAGAGCGGTGTACTCGTGCCTGAGTGTGTGATCCCCGGTGGCGCCCCAGATCCTGACAATGCCGGACACGTCCGCCGAGGCTATCCATTGCGCGTTCGGCGAGATCCTGGCCACACTCACCAGGTACGCGTGCTGGCAGTAGACATCCACGAGCAGGGGCTGCACCAGGCTGCGAATCACGACGCTGCGACCATTGCAGTAGATGATCCAGCTCGATCTGGCATCGCCATCCACGAGAATTCCCCGCCCACGCTCCACACTGGGCATACAAGCGTACACCTCCACCAAGCTCATCTCGCTCGCTACTCTTTAATTTAGGGCATGGTTTGCATCGATTTTACACGTACAAACGGTACAAGCGCGGCTATAGCTACCTAAGTGCCGTTTCTTGTCTGCGCCCATGCCAGAAGCAAGCCAAGGCATCGACGTAATACCTGTATCGCCTCTTCCACGCTCTCGCTCTCGCCAAAATGTGAAAAAGCCGGAAGAATTTATGGCCTTGTTTGTTCAGCTGGAACGGCCTCGGCTGTTGCCAGCGGCACCAAACGCCGCCAAGAGCTGCAGAACGTCAGTGATGGACACCTCCTGCGGCTGCTGCTGCTGCTGCTCAAACTGCCGCCGGTTTTGGTAGTCGTACGCAGCGTCCTTGGAACTGCGAGCGTTTTGCAGCACCGTCTCGAAGTCGCTCTGCTTGAGAGGCCTGGCCGTCTGCCACCAATCCACACAGATGAGATCAATCAAGCTCTGGGAGGAGAGCTCAGTCACCTGTAGCTCGCTCGAGTGCCCGTTCTTCTCCTTCTCCAGCAGGTCTCTTATGGGAAGATAGGCGGCCTGCTTGCACAGCTCCGTCAAGTCGGAGCCACTGTAGTTCTCGGTCAGGCTCGCCAGATAGTCGATGTTCACCTCGTCCTCCACCGCCTCATCTTTGAGAATGACCCGCAGAATGCTGGCACGCTGCCTCGCATCCGGCATGCCCACCTCGAACGCGCGGGGAAGCCGGCGGAGGATGGCTTCGTCGAGCTCCCATGGCCTGTTGGTGGCGGCGAGAACCATGACCCTGGCACTCTCTGCACACACAACACAGCTCAGGAGCTTCTTCATTCGTTTCGGCTTCCAACCACGGCATACTTACGGTCAGTTGTGAAGCCGTCCCAGAGTGCCATGAACTCCGTCTTCATGTGAGTCATGGATTCGTGCTCCGTCGCACGCCTCTGGCCCAGAAAGCTGTCAACCTCGTCGATGAAGATGATGGATGGCTGCAGCTTGTACGCGAGAGAGAAGACGGCGGTGACTGCACCAACAAGAGTCAAGTGAAACGCGGTTGGCAAGAAAGCGAGGAGAGGGGGAGAGGTTTACCGAGCTTCTGGGCGTCTCCGAACCACTTGGACATGAGAGTGGCAATCCGAACGTTGATGAAGACGGCTCGCGACTCCTTGGCAATCGCCTTGGCCAGCAACGTCTTGCCGGTGCCGGGAGGCCCGTAGAGCAGCACTCCCTTCTGAGGTCCCAGCAGCTTGCCATGAGCAAACAGCTCCGGGCGCTGGAGAGGGAGGATGACGAGCTCGAACAGCGAGCTCTTGACGTCCTCGAGGCCGCCAATGGAGTCGAAGGTTACGTCAATGTCCTCGGGGTTGATCACGTCGCAGGCGATCATGTCCTAGAGTTGACACTCGCGATTTTACTAGGAGGAAGCAAGCAATGCAGGGAAACAGGGAGTAGTACCTCATAGCTGTTGGTTTGCACCAGTGAGCGGCCCAGGCGCTTGGCAATCTCCTTCTTGCGCTCGGCGGCTTTCTTGGCCTGGTAGCGATTTGGGTCGAGATGGCGCACCCCAACGAAGAGGACCAGGCAGCTCAAGGCGGCGCTGACGGCGTAGAGGAAGAGCTCTTGCCCTAGAGATGTGTCGCGCCCTCCCATGTCCCTCGCTCCCAGCAGCGAGCAAGCAATGCCCTAGGTAAAAAGTATAGGTAGGGCACAAGTCAATATTCCTCTCTTCTCTCTCACCGCGCGATGGCTGCCGCCACTGGTGCCGCCGCCGCTCCGGCCGGAGATCACAAGGGCAAGAGCAAGCGCAGCAGCGGCACCAGCCCGCCCAATTCGATGCTCTACGCATTTCTCGTCTTTGTTGTCACGCTGTCCCTGCAGCAGATGAACAAGAAGACGCTGGCGTCGTCAGAGCTCTACACCATCCTGGGCGGATTCATCAGCTCGCTCCTCTTCCTCCTCGCGCTCACTGTGAGTCTCGAGTGGTTTCGCGTGTAGGCTGATTGCGATCTCCCCGATCTCTCCCTGCAGATGATTGGCAACCTCCAGGAGTTACTGGGCAGCCGAACCGGATGGGGTGCTGGTGAGTAGAAAACGAAGGTTTTGGTGTGGAGGAAAGACTGAAACTCTTGCGGTGTGTGCGCGCAGTGCTTGCGGCGGAGCTCATCGCTTGCGTTGCTGCCGGGGCGGTACATAGAGTGTGCATCACCACATGGTAAGGAGCCATCCTCTCCTTGTCTCTAAAGAGAAAGAGATTGCTCACTCCGCTCCCTCTCAACGCAGCTTCATCTTCTCGCTCCTCTTCGTGTACGAAGTGAACAAGGTTTCCTTGACGGCACAGCAGCAGGTCGCGGTGACGGGGCCGGACACGAAGAAGAAAGTTCACTGACTACCGGGTAGCAATCGGTATCTCGGTTTTTTCTTCTTGCTTGTTATACAAACTCCTTGAGCCGCTTCACCAGCGTCTCAAATGCCTTCCTCTTGCTGACCGGCTTGCTCCCTCCCACAACACCGCGGAAGAGGCGATCCGGCAGGTCCTTGTACTTCTCCGCCACCACCATCACCTTCTTGAAGTCGAGCGCCGGGTAGCTCCTCTCCCGGATCACGGGGTTGAGGAAGAGGTCGGGCTGGTTGGACAGCAGCAGGTTGACGAGCTGCCTCGCCTCCGCCAGGCAGCTCTTGAGATCGGCGCCGCCACCCAGCCCCTGCAGCTGCGGCGTGGAGACGAAGCGCTCGTGCGCAAACGACTCGAGCACCCGCAGGTCGGCGTCGACGCCCATGACCGAGTGCACGTTGAAGCGGCGCACGTCGTCCGACACAAAGGTGGCGACGATGCAGTCGGACACGTGCGTGAGGACGCCGCGGATCCAGCGATCGAAGGCGTGCGGAGGCAGGATGGCCTGCGCGCTGGGCGTGAGTGTCTCCAGGTAGATGAGCACCTCGTTGAGGTAGGCGTTGCCGTGGTCGGGCGCGTCGTCGGGCGTCCAGTCGATGTGCGCCGTCAGCAGCATGAAGTCGTCGATCTTGGAGTTGACAAGCTCCAGCATCCGCTCCTGCGCCGCCGCCTGGGAGCTGCGGAGCACCGCCCGCGACTGCAGCGGGGCGGCCAGGCGCGGCGGCACGCCGCAGCTGCGAGCAATGTGCGCCGCGAAGAAGTCGCATGCGCGCTCCAGCACGGTGAGGTTGGCGGCCAGCTGCATGGCCTGGGACATGCCCAGGGTCGGGCTGCGCACCAGGCGGAGCAGCGCCTCCGCCACGCTCGTCGACAGCAGCCGGTCCGTGTACTGGCGGACCGCGTCGTAGTAGTCGGTCGCGCCGCCGGCGTGCGACAGGAAGCTGACCGAGTCGTCCGTGAAGGAGCGAACGATGCGGCACAGGTTGGGGACGCTGGCGGAGAAGGGCGCCACGTATGGGAACGCCGGGGTGGCGTCGCTGGCCTGCAGTCCAAACGCGGTTACGTGCATACCATACTCGTACTCCTTGCGCAGCAGCATCTGCTCGAACTTGTCGTTGGCGAGGACGTCGTGCACCGAGGCCCGCCGCTCCGCTAGCAGCAGCTCGTGGTAGCGCTCGCGGCACCGGTCCAGCGCCTCGAGCAGCGGCGCCACGTTGTAGCCATAGCTGCGCAGCGTCGCCGCCAGCAGGCTGGCGTTGTCCACCACGAGCAGAATGTGGTTGGCCCCCGGCATTCGCATCAGCTGCTCCTCCACCAGCGACGCCATGCGCGTCACCGCCGTGTCCCACAGCGACTCCACCGCCAAGGCATCCACCAGGCCGCCGGCGGTGCGCGCCACCCGCTCCTCAACGATGAAGAAGCCCGCCATCTGGGCAAAGAGCGACTGGTGGCACTCGAGGAATGGCCCCGGCGGGAGATGGAGGTCAGACTGGAGCTGGAGACGCCGGTTGTCAAGATAGTAGGCACGGAAGTGAGCGCCCAGGCCCAGGCACTCGTGGATGTAGTGCGCACGGTACACGGGCGTCAGTTGTAAGCGCTTGGCCACCTCGGCTTCCTCCTCTTCCTCGCCACTCGCGTCCACCAGCAGCACGTAGCACGACGACTGCAGCTCCTGGTCACCTCCGCCGCCACCCCCGCCGCCGCCACCCCAGCGGCTCTGCTCCTCGGCCTGCCGCTGCCGCCCCCGCATCTCCTCCTCCCGCTGCCGAGCGCTTGAGGCGGCACCCATGGACAGCTGCCCGATGTCCCGTGCCACCCCGCGGATGTCCACCAGCCAGTCGCTAAACTCCGCGCTCACCTTCTTTTCCACGTAGCCCCGGAAGCGCGGGATGTGCTGCTCCAGCGCGCTGGCCAGCGCGGTGGCGGGCATCTTGCGCTGCTGCAAGTAGTCGCGCTCCACGCAGTCCACTGCCTTGAGCGCCGGGTAGAGCTCGTCGCGCTCGACGTGAGAGTTGACGCGGCTGCACGCCTCCACGGCGCCGCTGCAGTGGAGCAGCGCCTCCACCGCGGCCGCTACGTTGGCACGGGTGGCGTGCCACTGGATGAGCTCCTCGAGGCAGCTCAGCAGCGATCTTCCCACCTCTTGCATCTGCGCATTGTCGTCGGCGAGGCGCTTCTTGAGCTCCTCGGCGTCGACGAGCACGTTGCGCAGCTCGTCCACCGCGCGGATAAACTCCTCGTAGTGCACCCGGCACAGCTCCTCGATCTCGCCCTCCTTGCTCTTGACGAAGCCCTTGAGCTGCTGGAGCAGGGCCTCCGGCCGTCCAATCTCGAATGCCGCGCGGATCAAAGTGCCCAGATCCTCACCATTGCCAATCGCGGATGCCAGCGTCGTGGATTCGTCCTCTTGCCCTGCCGCCGCCGCTCCTCCTCCTGCTCCTCCTCCCCTCTTGGCCACGGCCATCTCGCTACCTACCTGTGAATGACCTAAAGGTAACAATGTGGCAGGAGCTCGGGGTAGAGGCCAAAGAGGTGCCCGTGCGGGAAGCTCCTGCCCTATTCGCTTCCATCGCCATCCTGCTCCTTGCGCCAGCAGGTACGTTTGCTTCGTTGCAGCAAACGAAGCAAATCCACGCTAGCTCAGTGCGGTGCGAGTGTCATGGCACAGGTTGATGGCCTCACAGCCTCGGAGGCCGCCATAGGTCCCCTCGCTGACTCATTGACAAGTAAGAAAGACGATCTCCAGTTCGAAGAGGAAAGTGATACGTGCATGCCCGACTGTGCCAGGAATCATCGAGCACCACGATCTCATCAAGCTCCTCAGCAGTCCGCAACAATCTCAACACAACGCTCAATGTGTGTGTGCGTTTTGCTCGCACGACGTCGAGGGGATGATGTCCATTTCAGGCGGGGCTACAGAAGCCAGAGCATCGCTCAACGACGACAAAGAACTCGTGACGACTTTCGAGGCATGAAACTCTCACTTCCTATACACTCGCTGCTAACTTTGCCGGGATTTCTTCCTAACTTACAGAGCCTGACGGCCCTCGAAGGGATTTGCACTGGCGACAGCATCTTCCAGAAAGGAGGGGGCCAAGAAACTGCGGTCCCTCTCCTCGTTACATTGTCTTTCTTAGACTACTTTGAGGATGTCAATCAGACGCAGGAACCAACTGTCTAGAAAGATGTTCCGGTCCAGCTCCCTCGGCTGAAGCAGCTTCTTCGGGCTGCTGCCGATCCAGCACCTCCTGGATCTCCACTCGCAAGTCCGTGGAGAACAGGTTCGATACGCTCCTTACCATCCGCGTATTCTAATGCGAGCTGCTGCTCAAACCAGAACTTTGTGACCAGCTTGTCAAGGAAGAGCCAAGCGCTGCATGGGATGAAGCGAATGCGTTGAGCCTCTCTGCCTCTCAGCTTGTTCTGACGCAGATATAAACCCGCTGTGCAGATCGGCGGGGAGCTGTCGGATGTGTATGACTTTGTGGCCCCGTGGTACAGTCTAGGTTGCGTGCATTTTCAAGTGCTGAGACTTTGCTGCTGCAACTTACAGCTATGAGATCTTCCTGCTGATGGTGCAGCTGTATACGGGGTGCTTCATCCAGATGCTGAGGGCCCTGGCTGACCGTGCAAGTGACCACATCCTCAAGGTCGGTGTACATTGTGGAGCTTTCGAGTAACTTCTAAACAGGTAACGAGCTGGGTTGTACAATATCAAGAGCAGTTGCTAAACTTAGGGGTGGATGAGTTAAGCACCGCGCTACTTGCCAAGGACTCGCCAGAGTAGAACCACCGCCTATCGATAAGATCTCGTTTGCGGCCTTACGCAGGGAGATGGAAGGCGCTGGCTATGCTACTGCGGGAGAGGAGAATCGGAGGCTGGCTCAGGTCTACTGCGATTGAGCAGCTGATTACTCTAGGAAAACAGGTGGTTATTCTATAAACTGGAGGGTTTACTTCTTCCTGTGTTCAATATCATTCTTATAAAAACTCAAACCATTTCCTGTCGCAAACAGCACAATATTTTGATGTCAACCATGTGCAGAGCATATGAATGCACACGGATATGGGATGAAGACAAAAATTCTGGAAGAGGTGCTCCTGTCGCCATGGTTCCACAAATAAGCATCCAGCACTTGATTCAGCTTTTCCCATGTCTCTTTGGGGCATTTTAGATATGCATTTTCCTTCACATCTAGTGTGTGCCTCACAAGTGCTAGTTGTCCCTTTAACTGAATAATACATGTTTTTGGGGTCTGTTAGTGCCCATCTGGAGGCATAAGACCAATTGAAACAAGCCTCCTACACTCCCTACACTCTCTTATGATTGAGCAACCCCATTCTACACAGGTAGATAGCCAAGAATGAGTGGACCTTTCATATGAATCAGATGCAGGTATGAGTAGTAACTATAGGTTGTGGTCTCAACTTCCTCTTCAAAACCTTCCCAATATATTGAAACGCTACCGGCTTCTCCCACTTATTCAGCATGATATGGTCCTATTAGGATTAAATTCTCACAGTCCCTAATACCATCATCCACTGGAGGCATACAGGTTCCATCCTAAAAACAACTAAGTTCCAGGTCCCTGCGAAGGTGTTATCCACCCTTAATGGGCACCATTTTACTGTGACACCCTCGCGTGGAGAACTTCTATTATTGCTTTTGTGGCACAAACAACTAATAAAACAAAATGCCACGTGTCACTTAACTGGCTTGTGCCTAGATAGTTAAAATGTGTTTGTTGACCGAACATACTTGCTACCCCATCCGACATATTCTTAGTGGTAATGGGCTTTTAACCGTCTCGTATGGAGCCATAACTTGCACTAAATCATATTTTAAACACCTGATTAGCCACCACAAGAATACAAGACGAAGAAACCCACCTGCTAGTGCACTATAAGGCCACCATCATAACCCATAGAAGGATTAGGAGGATAACTGCTTCCAGGAGGAACATAAAGAGACTTCACACTCCACATTCCAGTTGTTGAATCAAAGATAACTGGAGTGAGCATAAAACCACATCCTAGTATGGGTTCATCATACACCACAAGGAGGTGGAAACTGTCAAGGCTGGATCCAGCTCAAGATCATAGAGTGTTGTTGCTTGTGACTTCCACTTGTGGTGGAGATGGACAAAGGCAAGCTATGCCATGCTCCACAATGACAGAAGTGGTCCAATTCCTCCAGCTGCAAGGAATGAGGTTGCTACTGATTCTGCAGCTGTTACTGTTCTTGTTCCAAATCATAAACTGGCTTTTACGACAAGGGCCCAAGTTTGGAACCTCAATTCAGAGCCTCAAATCTCACCTGCTGTCCAGTGGCCGTATGTTGATCCACCTCATCTGCTGCTACACCCTGATGAAGAAGCCCACCATCTGGGCGAACAGCGAGTGGAGGAAGGCGCGGAGGTCCGACTGGAGCTGGAGGCACGGAGCGGCCAGTCCCACGGTACACGTCCTCGCCACCCGCGTCCAAGCAGCACGTAGCTCGATGACTCCGCCACCGCCACCACCCCAGCGGCTAGGCGGCGCCCATGGGCTGCCCGATGTCCCGCGCCACGGAATCCTTGAGCGCCGGGTAGAGCTCGGATGTGCGAGTTGGCGCGGCTGGCAGCGTCGTCGAGTTCTAGGTATTTCTCTCTTGAGCAAACGAATGACCTAAGGTAGCAATGTGGCAGGAGCTCGGAGTGGAGGCCAAAGAGGCGGCCGTGCGGGAGGTTGCCAAGCTCCTGCCATATCCCGACTCACTCGCTTCCATCGCTATCCTCCGCACTGACTACTCCTTGCGCCAGCAGGTAGGCTTCGTTACATTTCCACTCCTGCGCCTAAATCCACGCACCATTCCTTCGGTCGGATCCCTCCAGGCGAATGACGCGCAGCTCAGTGCGAGTGTCATGGCACAGGTTGAGCAGGCCAAGGCCGGGATCGATGCGCTCACCGCCTCGGAGGCCGCCATAGCTCGCCTCGCTGATAATTTCCTCGTTATTGACAAGTAAGAAACACGATCCAGTTCAAAGCTAGAAAAGTGATACATGCATGCGCGACGCAGGTTGTGCCAGGAATGCCAGACGCTCATCGAGCACCACGATCTTATCAAGCTCCTTAGCAACGTCCGCAACAATCTCAACACAACGCTCAAGGTGTGTGTATCCTTCCTCCACACAAAGAAAGGCTCCTCCCACGGTACGTTTTGCTCGCAGGACGTGGAGGGGATGATGTCCATTTCAGTCGAGGCTGCGGAAGCCAGAGCATCGCTCAACGACGACAAGGAACTCGTGACGACTTTCGAGGCATGAAACTTTCACTTCCTATACACTCACAGCTAACATTGCCGGCATTTCTTTCTGACTATACAGAGCCTGACGGCCCTCGAAGGCAAGAAGCGATTTGCACTGGCGACAGCATCTTCCAGAAAGGAGGAGGCCAAGAAACTGCGGTCAGCCACACATTGTTTCCTCTTCTCGTTACATTGTCTTTCTCACGTTGTGCCTCTCCAGGGACTACTTTGAGGATGTCAATAGGACACGGGACAAGTTTGAGCAAATGCTTTGGGATCACATAAGGAACTTCTACCAGCTGTCTCGAAAGAGGTTCATTCTAGCTTCTGTGCGGACAGTGTCACCATGTTTTTCATTGCATGCAGCCCACAGACACTCGTTCGTGCGCTCAGGTTCGCCCCCCATTGTCATTTCTCTCACTCACTCACTTGTGTTGGCAGGGTAGTGGAGATGCAGGAGGTGCTGGATCAGCAGCATGCCGAAGAAGCTGCTGAAGCCGAGGGAGCTGGACCGGTGGCACTCATATCCAACACCAGGGCCGCTCGAAAGTAACGTTGTTCCCGGGAACTCGTGACCAAGTTTGGCTAATGGTTGTTTCAAGGTCCGCGGTGGCGTCCGGGGTGGCGTCTGAGCCAGACCAACCACCTAAAAATGGCAAGGGGTACAAAGATCGCTGCTATGACGAGATACGCAAGTCCGTGGAGGACAGGTTCCATACGCTCCTTACCAAGGTATGCTCTCCGCGTAGTGTAATGCGAGCTGCTGCTTAAACCATAACTTTGTGACCAGCTTGTCAAGGAAGAGCTAAGCGCTGCATTGGATGAAGCGAATGCGGTGAGCCTCTCTGCCTCTCAGCTTGTTGTTACGCGACGATAAACTCGTTGTGCAGATCGGCGGGGAGCTGCCGGACGTGTATGACTTTGTGGCCCCGTGCTTTCCTCCTCGGTACAGTCTAGGCTGCGTGCATTTTCAAGTGCTGAGACTTTGCTGCTGCAACTTACAGCTATGAGATCTTCCTGCTGATGGTGCAGCTGTATACTGAGCGCTTCATCCAGATGCTGAGGGCCTTGGCTGACCGTGCAAGTGACCTGTCCAATATCGACATTCTCAAGGTCGGTTTACAGAGTGGAGGTTTCGAGTGACTTTGCACTTCTGCAGGTAACCAGCTGGGTTGTACAATATCAAGAGCAGTTGCTAAACTTGGGGGTGGACGAGAGTTTAGCACAAGTATGTGCAGAGAGTGGAGCCATGGACCCGCTAATGAATGTCTATGTGGATCGCATGCAATCAACAATGCAGGTAAGAAACGTACCACCTTGCGTGCTCTTGTTTCATGCTTGCGTGCTGTATCAGAAATGGTACACCAACATTCTGGAGGCGGATAAAGTGCAGCCGCCGAAGAAAACAGATCAAGGAAAGCTATGGACCCCAGCTGCTGTGGATTTGTTCAGGATACTTGGGGAGCAGGTTCAGAATGTCCAGGAAAACAGCACAGATGTAATGCTTTACCGTATTGCTCTCGCCGTTATACAGGTTTGCATCCAGCACGTTTCGGGCAACTGTTAATGCTGTACTTGGTCAGGTGATGGGCGATTTTCAGGCTGCAGAGCGGCATCGACTTGAGGAGCCGGCGGCGGAAATCGGCCTTGAGGCCATTTGTGCCATGGTAAAAGACTCCATTTTTCTTTCCCTCTTCAATCACCATCCTGCGTTGAAGGTCAATAACAACATTCGTTGTCACGATCTCTCCTTGGAATTGAGCGGCAACATTATGGAGTCACTTGCTCCATACTATGCCGAACAGGTACAAGTCCATCTATCTTCCGCTTTCTCTCAGTTTTACCATGTCAGGTCAATTTTGAAGACACCTGTAAAGGGTTTCTTGAGGTGGCCAAGGTGAGGAGGGAGATGATGTAGAATGAGGCGATGACAAAGTGCATTCTCGTAGGAAGCTGTCCAACAAACCGTGAGGGTGATTTTTGAAGATCCTGGAGTAAAGGAGCTACTTGTCAAACTTTATCAGAAAGGTTGCTAGTCCGTTCAACATTGTAGATTTACATCCGTGTCTGTGCAGATTGGCATGAAGGACTTGTGACCGAGTACCTGGTTGCAACATTTGGCGATTACTTTGGGGATGTAAAGATGTGAGACACGATTAACCTACCCGACTTTCAATGTGCGTGTTGCAGGTATATTGAGGACAGATCGTTTCGAAGGTTTGCTGAGGCTTGTCTAGAGGAGACAATTGTCATATACGTGGATCATCTCCTTACACAGGTTTGCTTCTTTTCCTTAAAAAGCTCAAATTGCATCTGTGTTGCAGAGAAACTACATCAAAGAAGACATGCTTGAAAGGATGAAAGTAGACGAGGAGATTCTTGCCGATTTTTTCAGAGAATATATCAGCCCCGCTGTAAGCTAGATATTGCAATATATCTTGTTATGACGAACGCCTATTCATCCTTATGTAGAAGGCAGCCAAACGAGTCCAACCGCTAGCCGAATTTCGGGACCTTGCATCTGCTGAGAGTTTGGAAGCATTCACACTGGCTTACACCAATATGTTACAGAACCATCCTGACTGTCCTGTAAGTACTGTTCACAATCCAGGGCCGTCATCCTGTTTGATATTTCTGGCAGCCGGAGGTGGTAGAGAAAATATTAGCACTGCGGGAAGGTATTCCAAGGAAGGATGTCCGAGAGGTAAAAGACTAGCCAGAGTATGG